ACTAAGTACTTTAATTTTATGAACTCAGTGAATTTCTATGACATATACCTTTGAAAACTCAGGACTCGGAATATTTTTTTCTGTTGATGACCCAGCTTGAGCTAATAATTCATTGAGCTATTTTTTGCCCTAGTTCCTAAGAGTCCTAAAGCAACATTTTGCTTTACATGTCCTCTGACCTTCCTAGTTTGGAGAATATGGAATTCCTTCATTGGTCTTTTTTCTGGGTTAATGGATCAATCAAATTATATATATATATATATATATATATATTTTTCCAGAGGAATGTAGGCTATAAATGCCTGTATTTTTAATGTGATATGAGTAATTTGGGTACATTGAAGTCTTGCAAAAATGTTTCCTATATTTTTCTCTACATTCATTTTTACTCTTGGATACCTTATCTGGCAACTGTATAGCTAGCTAGCATCTTGAGTTTCTGTGGATTGGAAGCAATATCTCTGCACCCACTTCCCTTATGATATTTCAAGACCTACCTTTAAAGTTCCAGGAAAATTCTGTGCACAGTGTTGTACTGTGGCATTCTGTCTCAGCACCAGGCCCTCAGTCAGCCTCTAGTAACAACAGTATCTTGGACCCCAAGGAGATGCCATGAAGCCTGGGAAACCTGGCCTGGCTTTGGGTGATAGAGCCAAGTCAATGTGTGAGAAATCTGGATGTAAGATGGAATTCTGACATGAATTTGGGTCCCTGATTCTAGGTATGATAATTTGTAAGTGAGACTTCCTCAAGGCCTTTGGTCTTATAATTTAATAGGCAAAATTGCTATGAATATCTAGTGGTAAAATACACATAATATAAAATTAACTGTGTTGACCATTTTATAGTATACAGTTCAGTGGTATTAACTACATTCATAATGTTGTACAGGCATCACACCATCCATGTCTGTAAGTCTTTTCATCTTGTAAAACTGAAACACTGTACTCATTAACTTCCCATTCCCCTAGCCCTTGGCAACCACCATTCTACTTTCTTGATTCTATGATTTTGACTACTCTAAGCAGCGGGCATATATTTTTAATTAAGTTTAATAACAAGTATATTTGTTGATCTGAATTGTTTTAAACTTCATCTAATTTTTATAAACAGAGGCAAGTGAATCATGTTCACATGTTGGAAATTATTATAGAGGTGAAAAATCTAGTTGCATATTTGAGATAATTTCTACTCTATATAGTTTTGTTTCTTTGTTTTTAACAAGTTTCTTATTTGCACTATTTAGTGGTATTATATATTTCTCTTGTTGCATATCAATTATGGGTCTAAATCAGTAGTGTTTGAACTCAATTTTTTTTTTTTTTTTTTTGAGACGGAGTTTTACTCTTGTTACCCAGGCTGGAGTGCAATGGCCCGATCTCGGCTCACTGCAACCTCCACCTCCTGGGTTCAAGCAATTCTCCTGCCTCAGCTTCCTGAGTAGCTGGGATTACAGGTACACGCCACCATGCCCAGCTGAATTTTTGTATTTTTTAGTAGAGACGGGGTTTCACCATGTTGACCAGGATGGTCTCGATCTCTTGACCTCGTGATCCACCCGCCTCGGCCTCCCAATGTGCTGGGATTACAGGCGTGAGCCACCGCGCCCGGCTGAACTCAATTTTTAAAAAAGAAACTAAAGGCAGTTCCTGAGTTTTTGAAGAGTCTTGTGTAAACTGATAGGACAGATAGGCTCTATGTTTTTAAGGAAGGAATATGGAATTATTTGAATTTAGCTTTTACCGATCACATAAAAAGTATGGGACGTTAAATTTGCATTTGCCTCCGAGACTGTGAGGCATGAGCTGCAAATTAAAAGACATCATATGAGCCTTGCATCAATTAGGATGAAATAAAGTTTATTCCAGCAATCTGCTTAGCAGCCTTGTTAATGTCAAGGCTAATGAATGCTGCTGATGAATAAATTCCTGAAGAAGAAAGGACCCCCAATCGGAGGTAAGTGCATGATGTCTTCAATTAGAGACCAGAAAAAGAAAGGGCAAAGAAATTCTGTGCATATGAAGATAAATCCTCTAATTTGCATTTGTTATAACGTTATCAGCTGCCTTCTTTTTCTGACTAGGGTCATAATATTTATGGGTTTGAACTGGAGGTACTACTGCAGAGAATTAATGTGTGCAAAGCTCCTCACTGGTCCAAGATAGGTCGACTGAAGCGATCCAACATGCCAAAGCTTGGGGTAATAATAATTTTCAAAATCTCTTTTATTTATTTATTTTTTAATGTGGGGTAGCTACCAGGGAACACACTATACTTTTTAAAGTAGGAATTGGTTATCTTGTGATAGGAACTTTGGTACATTTTAACTTTGGCACTAAACATCTTTTCCTTTGAATTCAGCATTTTTTTTGTAAAAGCCTCTGGTGGTTTTAAAAATCATCGGTTAGAATCTAGGAATAGTGAACAAAGACAGCACATACATGTTACTTTCACTTTGTCATTCCTGAAGTGATAATCTTAGGGCAAGGTTGCATGGTTCAGAAGAAGGTTATCATTTAGGAGGAAGATGGGAAGAATGAATGGAAGGGAGTTGATGTTGGTTGTATTAGAATGCAATATTGCTGGATGATATCTTGTAATAAAAAGAAGAAAGAAAAAGGAAGAAGGCAATAAACTAAGTGCTTTCTGTGTTAGTTACCTCTCGTGGCAACTCCAGTTTTATTTCATAGACAGTCTCATAGGGGTAACATAACTTGTTCCGGATCATGTGACTAGCAAGGGGAAAAACTGAGATTTTAACCCAGGCCTGTGTGACTCTTAAAGCCAATATATACTTTTCATTTTACCTCCTTGCTTCATGTATGGAGGTTTTGGCAGTTTTTGTGTGAAGCACTTTGTTTCTAAACCTGATACTGCTCAGTGCTTGAAATCTTATTTTACTTAAAGCTTATAAATAAAATGGACATGTTGCCTCATCAGATAAGTTAGGAATCTGTATCTTTTTTGTAATGTTCTCTAGAGGATTCTGCCACTACAGATCAAAGTTGGGGCCACTGATCTTGCTTCTTTTCCGATTCCTATCTTTAAGGTGGTAGAGTTGTTATTAGCACTTCATCTGAACACTTGCTTAGCTTTTTACCTCCTTCAAGATTTTCTTTATATGGCATCTTCTCAGTGAGGTCTGCCCCATTACCCTATTTAAGATGCAGTCTCCCCAAATTCCTTGTGCCCCTCACCCTGCTCTATTTTCCCATTTTCCATATACTTGCTACCCCCTAAAACGATATAGTTTCTTGTTTATGTTGTCTATTTTTTATTATACATTTCACATGAGGCTAGGAGTCTTTTATGTTTTGATCACTGCTGTATCCTGAGTGCCTAGAATAATGTCAGATACATAGTAAATGTTCAAAAATATTTGATTGATAAATGGGAGAACGAAAGTTATCATAATTTTGGGCCAGCTTTAAAATAGGTTAGAAAGAAATGTTCTCAGTGTCTGCTCTTTCATGAAATTTGCTTTTTGTTCCCATCTCGTAGGGCCGGAGTGGATTTGGTGAAAGAAATGCTACCTGTGGTCGAATGATCTGTGATGTGGAAATTTCAGCAAAGGAATTGATTCGTTGTAAAAGCTACCATCTGTCTGAACTTGTTCAGCAGATTCTAAAAACTGAAAGGGCTGTAATCCCAGTGGAAAATATACGAAATATGTACAGGTATGATCCTAGATTCTTCAGAATTAATCTGTCTTGAAATTAACGATAGCAGAACACCAGTACTATTCTTAGTCTGGAGGGGCATGAGCCAGTGGTGCTGTAGTGGGGAAACTGTCTTTGTCAGTACTACCATCTCCACTGCTTTCATAATTTGAACTAGTTTACCTCTTGAATTATTGTAATTGATTAGTTTATCTCTATCTCCCTCACCTGTGTTAACACTATCTTAATGTTTCCTAACAGTAGTTGGGATTTAGATTTCTACTCTTAATTCATTTATTCAGGAATTAGGGTAGATACTTTGGAAATATAAAAACTGAGCAATCATTAAGTTATTTAGAGGTAGCGCTTGCTTATTTCTTCCTCTTACTCCTCTGGTCATCTCTCATTTGTTCGTTCCTGCTAGTTCTTCCTGACTCGTTTCTTGGACTTCTTTTCTGACTTTGCCCCTTCTCTAGGTGGTCATAGTGAGTCTTAGGAATTTAAATATCATGTGGATGCCTATGCCTCCCACCTGTGTATCTTCAGGTTAGACCTCCCTAAATTCTAGAATCAATGTGCCTACTTACCTATTTTACTTGATATCTAATGTGAACTCCCAGCTTGTTGAAAACTGAGCTCTAATCTTCTGTCCTAGGTTCTTCATGTAGTCTTTCCTTACTAAATTAGTAAGCGTATTTTTCCGTTATCACTGGACACTTCAGAGTTTTACTTAGCCCAAAATCTCTGTGGCACCTTTGATTCCTCCCTCTCATATCCCACAGTAGATGCATCAGGGAATCCTATCAGTTCTATCTTCTAAATACCTCTAAGTCTGACCACTTCTTTCCTACTCTGTTGAACCCATCCTGTCCAAGCCACTATCCTCTTTCCTCTGGATTACTGGGTTTATATGCCTGTCCCCTTCCTTTTGCCCTTGCCCCTTTATAATCGATTCTCAATTCAGAACCAGAGTTATTATGCTAAAATCAAGTCAGATGTGGTACTCTGCCCAGAATCTTCCAGTGACTCTCTGTTTCATTCAGAGTAAGAACTGATGTCCTTGTTTTTGCTTATAAGCTCCATACCGTGTGTCTCTATGCCATTAACTCTGTCCTTATCTCCTACTGCTCTTTCCATTATTCTCTCTGATCCAGCTATATTGGCCTCTTTCCTAGCCCTGGAGCTGCCAGATTTGCACGCAGCTCTGGGTTTTTGAGTGTGCTGTCCTGTCTGCGTGGAATGCTCTTTCCATAAGGCTTGTTCCCTCACCTCTTCCAGATCTTTATTCTCAGTGAAATCTTCCACTGTTTCCTAATAAAAATTTCAGTCTCTGCTTCTGATACTTAATATTCCCATTGCTTAACTTTTAACACTATATAACATACTATATACATAATTTCTTTTTCTTTTTTATACTCTTGTCTCCCCCATGAGGACATAAGCTCCAGGAGGATAGGAAGTTTTGTTTGTTTTGGTCATAGCCAACTCCTGGCACATAGTAAGCGTGCAATATATACTCACTGGATGGAATGAATAAAAGGATTTAGATAGTTTTCAGGCTTGTAGTTATTATATTACTTCAGTTTTTCTTTATGGGAGAGTGTGTGTGTGTGTGTGTTGGAGAAAAGCTTCGGGAACAATGGTATGAATGAATTCCTATTTACATACTGACCTTAAATTGTTTCTGAAGCCAAGATGCTGTTGCTCTGAATTTACTTACACCCGAAATTCCTTGTTACATACTGACCTTAAATTGTTTCTGAAGCCAAGGTGCTGTTGCTCTGAATTTACTTACACCTGAAATTCCTTGTAATAGTTTTTGAAGTTATGATTATAGGCATTGTTTCTTTTAATTATTTGATTCTGTTTTATTCTTACTTTTCTGTACAGTGAATCTTCTCAACTGTTGTACCTGTTGAAACACACCTGGGAAGATGCCAAGTTCATTTTGCAGATCATGTGTGAGCTAAATGTTCTTCCATTAGCATTGCAGATCACTAACATCGCTGGGAACATTATGGTAAATTTAACTTAGAGAGGGGGAAAAAGCATTTCCTGTTGGATTCAGTGTTTGCCTGGGGTAGTTGTTATATGATAATGAGTCTAAATGCATGCTTATAAAATGAGTAACTTGGATTCTGAAAGCTGGACTTCTTTTGTAAAGGAAGAACTGGTTGGGAGAAGGGGAGGAATGCCAGGTGCAGTGTGTTGAAATTGGGGCGAACATAAGGATCATCTCTCTAACATCTGGATGTGTCTGTTTGGTGGAATGGTCCATTTGGGAGTAAATAGCCAAGTTGTCAATATTTTAAGCTCTCTTTGTCTCCTTTAACTATAATCCTTAATGAAAATGTTAGGAATGATTTAGTACCTTTTTTTTTTTTTTTAAAAAGCAGCCTGTTGTTAGGAATGGTTTTGAAGGAGGTGATGTGACTAAACTTAACTGACTCAAGGTTGCTTTTGTTAGTTGTGGTTTTGAGCTCAAATTTTAAAAATAAATTCCATTTAATAGTCCAGGACGCTGATGGGTGGACGATCCGAGCGTAACGAGTTCTTGTTGCTTCATGCATTTTATGAAAACAACTATATTGTGCCTGACAAGCAGATTTTCCGAAAGCCTCAGCAAAAACTGGTGGGTCCAAAACTGTGTAGTATTTTGTTTCCTCTTATCCCCCACTTTTTATTACCTAGATAGCCTTTTTTTCTGTGATGACATCTGCTTTCAAAATAGCAAATCCCTTGTGTACTATAGAAACTGTGTCAAGTTTATTCCCTTGTATTTGTGTCATTTCCTTTTCCATTTTTCTCTGTGCAGGCAAAATTATTTGTGAAATAGGAAATTCTTTGAGGGAAGCATTAGACCTCTCTGATGGGTGACCATACGTGGAATGTGTTCTGGCACCTTAGCCCTCCCAAAGTTAAATGCCAGTTAAACTTTTTATTTTCTTGAACCTATGAGCCTTTATTTTTGTGTTGCATTTTTCTGTACTAGTATGATCAAGGTCACCCACAATTAGGTTTCTGAAATAGCCTCCATCGCTTTAGAACTAAAACTTAGTTTAGCTACTGTTTTATTAGCACTGATACGAATTGATGCAGAAATGGGAATTGAATGTTAAAATTTGATTCAGGTTCTCATATTTGCTTGTTTTTTTAATGTACATTATTAAAATTGGTACAGGGAATATTCATTTAGAGGACTTTAACTTCTGCTGAAGTATTTTATGTTGGCCAATAATAAACTACTTAGGAATGGATTTTCAGTATATAGATGTGCTTATTTTATGGTGTCCATATTAATAATAGGGATAATGATAATACCTACATGAAGTATTTTATGTTTTTACATCATGAATGTTAGAGTAGTGATTGTAAGAGGGTTGCTTTACAATCTCAAATTTTATGTAATATGAAAAGTGGTATTTTCAGTATTCATTAATTAGAAAATATGAAACTCTATAAATTCAGAAGCACATAAAAATATAATTTTTGTATTTGTTAACTCAGATATATAGTGTTTGCTTAAGAAATTACTATGCTTGGCATTCATTTGGATTCATGAACATATTACAATAACTGTCTTTCCCCACAGATAGGACCGCTAACTGAAATAATGTTTGTTAGAACTAAGTCCTGCAATTGGAAAAGAGAGAATCATAACAATTTTAAATTAATGAGTTGCTGTCTGGTGAAGTTGTCTTTGCATTTGATATTAGGGAGATGAAGATGAAGAAATTGATGGAGATACCAATAAATACAAGAAAGGACGTAAGAAAGCAGCTTATGCTGGAGGCTTGGTTTTGGACCCCAAAGTTGGTAAGCCTGGGCAGTGAATTGGTTTTTTCCCAGTATTAAGGGATTTCTTAATGTGGAACTAGGCTTGAGAAACTGGAAGACCTGAATTATATCTTATAGGTCAGCAAATAAGTCTTATGATGGCCTTACTTTTCTCTTTCATTCATGTGAAAATCTTGGTTGCCAGTCACCTGACATAGACTTAAGGTGAATTTTGTTATGCTGTGTTCCAATAAATTATGTATAGACATTGAAATTTAAATTTCATGTAGTTTTCATGTGTCATGAAATACTGTTTTTAATTTTTTCCAACCATTAAAAAATGTAAAAACCATACTTAAGCTCATGGGTGGTACAAAAACAAGCAGTAGGTTGAATTTGGTCTGTAAACATAGTTTGTCCAATACATAGATAAGTAGCTGTCCAGGACATAGATAGCTGTTTGTCCTGACCAGTTCAGTTGACAGCGAAGTTAAAGACAGTGCAGACAGTAACCACCAAATTTAACTTTTAACAGGAGAATACCTTTTCCCTATTGTCATGAATGGCAAAGATGTTTTGTGGTACACAGAGCTAGAAATGATCTTTTTTTTAAAAAAACTTTTTGTTTTTCTTTTTCTTTTCTTTGCTTTTTTTTTGGAGACAGAGTCTTGCTCTGTTGCCTAGGTTGGAGTGCAGTGGCACAGTCCCTGCTCACTGCAGCTTCCATGTCCCAGGTTCAAGCGATCCTCCTGCCTCAGTCTCCCAGTAGATGGGACTCCAGGTGGGCGCCACCATAGCCAGCTAATTTTTTTGTATTAAATAAAACATTTCAACCATTCTCAAATGTACAGTTCAGTAGTAGTGTTAAGAATATTCATATCGTTATGAAGGAATTAATGTGAATTTTATCAAATAAGTTAACTCTGAGTGGGAGACATTTTTGACAAAAGTGATTTTATTATAATGGAGCAGTAGTACTTGGTGTTATATAGGTCTGGGTTTGAATTCAATGTGATCTTGGGCTGCCTGTTAAACCTCTTGTAAGGCTCAGCTTCTTCTGTAAAATAGAGGTAAGAGTAATATCTACCACACAGGGATTTAAAGATAAATTAGTATAGTGCTGGACACAGAATAAACTATCAATATATGTTTGCAATTATTACTATCTTAATAGTGGACATTTATTTTTATTCAGTTTCTTCTCAAGGTGAAGATAACTCTTTGTAAATGTCCTAGAGAAATATAGTAGCTTTCTGTTCATCCTTTGCAAGTAAAAAGGGTGGATCGTTCCACTACTGACATTTATATATGTGTGTCTCCTATTTGATTTTAGCTCGGTTTATGTACAGGTAAATGTGCTGTCCATTTTATTTTTTGAAAGTGTCATTAAAAAATAAACCACTCAGCTGGGTGCAATGGCTCACACCTGTAATCCCAGCACTTTGGGAGGCCGAGCAGGCAGATCACGAGGTCAGGAGATCGAGACCAGCCTGCCCAACATGGTGAAACCCTGTCTCTACTAAAATACAAAAAATTAGCCAGGTGTGGTGGCATGCGCCTGTAGTCCCAGCTACTCAGGAGGCTGAGGCGGGGGTATCTCTTGAACTCTGGAGGCAGAGATTGCAGTGAGCCGAGATAATGCCACTGCACTCAAGCCTGGTGATAAAGCGAGACTCTGTCTCAAAAAAATAAATAAATAAAAATAAAAAAGAAAACCACTCACTTGGTTTTATTTGGTGTGGGGAAGGGGAAAGTAGGTGGAAGGGAATTCTTGCTTTGAAGGAAAGTTTAACATTTTTTTTTAAATGGATGTGACACCTTTCAAATAAGTGGGACGGTGTTTGTTTGTAATAATGGTGTGTTTTGGGGACAGCTGGGGAAAGGACTGGTTGTGGCTGGTTCTAAAGAGAAGACAGGATTTTTTTCTCCCTCTTATTTTGTGATCTGGCTTTTCACTAAATTTACATCATTTTATGGAATGGTAGTTGATTTTTTTTTTCCTTTGTCTCTCAGCTTTGGATAGTATATGTGGATAGTATATAGTTTCTAATATAGTGCTTTTAATAATGATGTTTTGACTGTTCTGCTTTTCTTTAGACTTTTTATGATATTATGTGGCTTTTTAATTTCAGGTTTTTACGATAAGTTCATTTTGCTTCTGGACTTCAACAGTCTTTATCCTTCCATCATTCAGGAATTTAACATTTGTTTTACAACAGTACAAAGAGTTGCTGCAGAGGCACAGAAGATTACAGAGGTTTGTACTTAATCTAGGGCTCTTGAAATCGAGGTTAAAAGAATTACTTAAGGAAGGGAACCAAAGGGGTTAGCATTTTAGTTTTTCTTTTTTTTTTGGTAGAGGCTGGGTTTTGCTATGTTGCCCAGGTTGCTCTTGAGCTCCTGGGCTCAAGCAGTCCACCTGCCTCAGTCTACCAAAGTGCTGGGATTACAGGCATGAGCCACTGTATCTGGCCTTTCCTCTTAAAGGATGCATTAATTATATCCTTTCTTAGTGGTCAAAAAGGAGAAGGGTTGGGTAGAAAGAGACTCAGACTGGTTCTGTGTCTTTTTAAAATAGCTTTATTGTGGTATTATTCATATACCATGTAATTCACCTGTTTAAAGTGTATGGTTCAGTGGCTTTTGGTGTATTCCCAGAGTTTGCAGCCATCGTCACAATTGGTTTTAGGATATTTTCATTATTTCCCAAAGAAACCTTTTAGCTGTCACCCCCATCAATCCATCTATCCCTTCCACCTCTAGGCAACTGCTAATCTTTTTGCTTGTATAGATTTGTATGTTCCGGACATCTTATATAAATAGAATCATACAGTATATGGCCTTTTGGTATCTGGCTTATTTCACTTAGCATAATGTTTTCAAGGTTCATCCATGTTGTAGAATGTACTAATACTTCATTCCTTTGTATTGCTGAATAAATTTCCATTTTATATGCATGTGTGGTCTATGTATAGGTGTATACCCCCCCCACACACATTTTGTTCTTTTTTTTTTTTTTTTTTTTTTTTTTTTTTTTTAATACATGGCAGAAGATGTCTATTTGCCCTCTAGCTCCTGAATTTATATGTCTTTTAGTTCTCACCACAAGCTTGGGACCTGTTTTTCAATCCCAATTTCATATTCCCAGAAGAGAGAATCGGATAGGTTTGCCTAGGTTGGTGGGCACCCCAGGTCCCCGTTATCTGTAACCACAAGAGTAGGTTTACAGGGTACAAATCTGGCTGCGAAGGGTGGGCCTTTCTGTGAGACTAGTGGAGACCGTTACAGAGAAGGTACTGGGTAGACATCCCCAACAGGTATGACTGCATTCAATTAATATTTGAGCTCTGTCCTGCTACTGTGCCAGCATGGTGATGGTTAATATTATTTAGCCTCTGCCCACCACCATTTTGCTTAGTGGAGTTCTCCAGCTTGGATTCTGGATATATAATAGAATCATTTTAGAGTTGGGAGGGACATCAAAAGTCATCTAAGAAATACTATACATGTAGCAGTTTATAGATCCTGTATCATTTTTATGCATGGTAGCTCAGAACAGTGTCACACAGGTAGTAGTTGTAGAGCTAGGAGTAGATGGTAAATTTCCTGACTCTATATTCTTTCAGTTTACTTTTTATCTAAATTTCATAGTTGCTGTAAATAAATTGGAATGTGTACCAGGATCTCTTTAATAGGTTTACTATCATCATCTGTTATATTGGAAAGCAATAGGTCCCTATTACTATTGTAAGAGCGTTTCACTTGAAGATATTGATCTCTGTAAAATCAGATGCTTTGTAAAGGCTAGGTTATCAAATGGCATTGACTTGGCATACTTTAAATCAAGAGGTTTATTTTTAATTCTGAACCTTTAAAAGGGTAAATGTGCCTGGCTTTTTTCTTTGTAGCCTGTTAATAGAATTAATGGAGGCTTGAGAAAAATGGTCTAGTGCTTTCCCTGCTTTTTCCTGCTGTAAATTTTAATATAAGAAGACTGTTGGTTGCTATTCTTCTGCCGACTGCATGGCAATTTGTAGGTAAAAAGTACTGCATAAATGTTAAGGGATATATATATGTTAGTTTTTAGAAATGTCATGGCCTATTTAAATGTGCTCCAAATGCTAAAAGAAATTTGCTGATTTAGTATTTGGCTTTTTATTTTTAGTCTAGAGCATTTACAATAATTGCTGTTATTCTCCATAGTTTTTACAATTCTATAGCATTTTGTTTGGTAGTAAAAATGATTTAAAATAGTAGTTTAGCTGCTGTTTTTTTTTTTTTTAAATCCTGGAGGCCTCTTTTAGTGTTTATATTTTAAAAACAATTTCCTCAAACATGTTGTTCTCCAGTCTTGTTGAAGAGAGTTAGTAGCATTTGTAAAAATATATCCCTTTAAATGAAATCTAAATATGTGTCTAACTACAGGGGTGAGAGATATTGGGAATGACAAACTAATATAATTGGGAGAGATGAGGGCAATGGTGACCTGTTCTACAAACCTCTCAGCAGCTTCTTATACTACCCATGCATTGTTGACCCTTACTTGTATAAGAGAATAGCTTTTCAAGATGTGATCATGGGGGAAAGCGCCTATAAAATATTACTGTAGAAATTTATTTCACAAAAGTTTGATTTGTATGAAATTTCTGTTGTGTGTTTATCAGGATGGAGAACAAGAACAGATCCCTGAGTTGCCAGATCCAAACTTAGAAATGGGCATTTTGCCCAGAGAGATCCGGAAACTGGTAGAACGGAGAAAACAAGTCAAACAGCTAATGAAACAGCAAGACTTAAATCCAGACCTTATTCTTCAGGTATATCTATACCTTTTCACTAAGAAACATTTGAGTGACAGTCTCAGCTTTTAGAATTTGATTATTTAGGAGTAAACAGGATGCTGGGCAAATGCAGGTACTTATTTTAAGTTTGTGGGTAGGTGACCACTTAAAAATACTAGAGTCCCTCAGAATGGAAGCCACCTTTGTCTGCAAAGGTTGTATCTGAACAAGATACTTCTGGCTCCTGGGAGCTTTGGATTCTGTGTTTACTTGCTTCTAGGAGGTTAGGGAATCATTGATCTGGGTGGATGGGTTGAGTGTGTTCTTTTTTATTCAGGGATATTGCTGGTTTCTCTTTTTATTGGAGATTTAGAAAGACATCTAATGTAATACTTAAGCATCTGTAAATATTGTTGTTTGTCTTTTGTTCTGTGTGGCCTGCAGTATGACATTCGACAGAAGGCTTTGAAGCTCACAGCGAACAGTATGTACGGTTGCCTGGGATTTTCCTATAGCAGATTTTATGCCAAACCACTGGCTGCCTTGGTGACATACAAAGGAAGGGAGGTAAATGGCAGAATAACATTTACATCTCTAGATATGAGAGTATTTTTAACTTTACCTGTTAGAGTGTGGGAGAGTCAAGTTTATTACCTAGTTATACAGCATCAAAGACAGTACCCCTCTCTTTGGATGACAGGTTTGAGACAAATAGGCATTTAAATAAGGATTCGTGTGTGTGTGTGTGTGTGTGTGTGTGTGTATGTATGTACGTACGTATCAAGCAAGAAATAAAAGGTAAAAGGTCCCTGTTATCATGAGGCTTACTTTCTACCCAGATTGGGAGGAGATTGGGGGTGGAGACGACATGAGTTAGGAATGTGGGGTGGAGAGAGGGTGGTTTGGGAAAGCAGACTGTAAATAAGTAAATAAACATGTATAATAAATAACAAAATATGATAGAAGGAAATGTTCAGATAATTAAAACAGGGTGGTGGGCTAGAGAATATTTAGATGGCTAGTTTATATTGGTCAGGGAAGGCTTCTTCAAGGAGGTGACATGAATGAGTTATTATTATTATTATTATTATTATTATT